ACGACCGAGGAAGAGTCACTGCCGCCATGGTCGCCGCAGAAGGCGCCTTCCCTCACGATGGATACGGGGGCCTCAGGAATTACGGGGCGCCCGAACCTGTCACGTCCAGCCCGTACCCACCTCCAGGTAAGCATCGACTCTCGCTTGGTTTCTTTCTATTCACTTGGTTTTGATAGTGGTATTTCTTATCGAGATGTTAATGTGTATTTTGTACGCGGATTTTTTTAATGAAAAGAGTTGCCACTTTTTTTTTAAAAGTAGTCTTGGATTAATATGAAAAATAATTAGTTTCTTAAATTTGTAATAATATTCTAATATCTTTTGAACGAGATATTAAAATAATTGCAAATATAAAATTTATGTATTGTTTTTTTATATTTAATTTTGAAATACTAAAAAATATGTTAAGGAATTTATAAATCCCAATGTTTTATTTAATTTAAAATAATTTAAAATAAAAAAATAATATGCTATTGTAGGATTAATAAAGCGGGAATCCTGAGCGGGATGGTTCTAACAAATTTGTTTTTTTTTTTTGTACGCGCAAGGTCATCGTATTGTACGTGCTCCGGCGAATTCACAGGGAAACGAAACGTTGCTGAAAGTCACGAGATCGTGATGTGAATTTCTTCTAGCTTGACCTTGAAACGAGTTAAATAGGCAGAGAGTAAAAAAAAAAAAAAAAAATGAATGCAGGATAAAAAATCGAAAATCGCGAAGATCCTGACCTGTCACACCAACGATCCAGTCATCGTTCATTCACGTTCTATTTGGTCATTCTCTTTCGCCTCCCCACCCAAAGTCCTTTTCTCGAGACCCTGGAACCCATGAAACGTCGCATGAGCAACAACGAACCACGGCAGGTTTATTGGCGGCCGTAACTCGTAAACTCTGGCGTGCGCCTCCGATCAGCTGATCCGTTCCATGACCCGTGCAGCCGTTCATTCTTCTCCTACTAACGGCCGTTCCCTCGCTTTCCTTCTCGCAAACGCTGTCCCCATCACTCCATCCCTCTCTCCGTTTCTCTCATTCCAGACTTCAACTCGTTTCAATACTTTTTTACCCATCTAGTTGACGCCTGGTTCGGTTACTTACATAACCAATTCGAATTCTGTTCACTGCTAACAGACACAAGCAAACGTTCACTTGACTTCATAGTTTAGATTTTTCATCGTCAAAACATCTCTAATAGAGAAGATTAGCTAGGCTTACCGCGACGAATTTTCGATCAAAAATCATAGAGTTTGAAAAAGAGAAGCATGCATTTGGAATCGTAAAGAATAGAAAAATACGAGACACGGTGGCTGCTCATACGGACACGCTCGACGATGAACGAGATAAAGTTTGCGTGATTCTCTTAGCCCCGAAGTTAATCGTGGTAGGGAGGTGCACGCGCAGGCGTGCATTCTATACAAAGTAACCGAATACGAGCGCCACGTATAGTTTAACCGTTCCCCAATAGATGGCAGCTCCATTATCTTTGTTCGTCCGTCTGGTGTTCCGAAACCATGCTGTTCATACGGTATCGCGTCCAAATATTTCTCTGGCCAAACGTTTATATGATTTTCGACGACAAGTATCGAAGACAGCTGCCGCCGTTCACGATTCATCGTTTGCGAGCAGATAGGCATCTTCCTGGATGAAAAACATCAAAACGAGGACCGGTTACAGAGAAACGTTGGATGCTCGTCATTTAAAAGCCAGTTTGCTACTTTAAATGAGGTCCAACGTTTCGTGTTTTTAATTTATCGCGCGCTTCCTGCGTTTCTTAGCGGTCTCTAATTAGCGTCACTTCAGATTATTGAATAACCATGATCGTTAACCTTAAATTATTCTCGTTATTTTATTTTTCCAGTTTTAATCGTTAAAATTTTAAATTCGTTTTCGGAAACGAACTTTTGTTAAATTAATATTTAAATGATCAGGAAGAAAGATTATCAATACTGATATATCATTAATAATAGTTGTCAAGAGTCTTTATAACATGCTCGTTGCTGGCAACACGCCGACCACAAATCGATACATACGTCATTTATTCCGCAGTTTCGTGGCACACGTCCCTTGTATGTATTGACATTCGTGAGAATTCTGACCTTTGTCAAATAATTTGCATACTCTAGCGTTTTAGTGGGCAATAAATTTCTGTCGCTTAAGCAATCGTGCCACGTTATTTTACGAAACGAGACGAGACGAATGTTGCGGAAGGGCAACAGTAATAGGGGTGTGGGTAAAGTAATAGTGGGTAAAAATAAGGCAAAAATAAGGGCGAGAGATATAGAAGAAGGGAAGACTAGAGAGTGGATATTACGTGATCTAATAAGGATAGAAGAGAAGAAATTCAAACTAACTTCTAGATTTTTTATTTTATTTTTTATGATCCATTTACTGTTTAATCAATTGTTTAGTAGATAAATCTATATGATCGAAAAAAATAAAAAATAAAAAATTTTTCAAAAAACAATAATAAGGAAAATTTTAAAACTGTCTAGCATTTTGAATTTATTTGAAAATTTTAGATTAAATCATATTATTTTTTTATAAAACTCATATGGAATTTTTTTAATTTAATTTATTATAATTTTTTTAACTTAATTCTCTTTAATTCAATTATAATTAAATATATATATTATAATTAAATATAATTAATAAAAATATTATATAAATTTAAATATTTCAATGAATATTAGATAGAAAATTTCAAGAAAGAATCTCTTTAATAAAACTCTTCTTTGAAAAAACCAAGATGTTCAGTAAGAAATAACAATTTTGAGGAGGATATATCAGCATACGTAACACGTTGCATACATAACAATGTCCATGAGGTTTAATATGGGGAATAGCAGGTGGGAGAAGGCAATTTGGTTGCGCTTATGACCGTGTAATGTTGCCAGGCTCACGAAGCTGTTGCGTTTCGTGGCTATGCAACAATTCCTCGCCATCGTTGTTCGTACTTAGGTTAAAGATAGACGGGCAAGTGCCGACTGCTTTCGTAATCCCTTCGTTTCGCACGCTACGTGCGATCTCTTTCAAAAAGATGATATTTATATCTTGTTTTAACGTTAGAACTAGAAAAATGAATAAATATCGATGTTATTTTAACAAAAAAATTTCTACATTTTTAATAAACGTAAATAAAAGTAAAAATTAAAAATCAATTTAAGTGAATAGTCTTTAAATAGTTTTAATATTAATATTAGAAATCAAATTATAATTTATAAAATTATTTTATAAAAATAAAAAATAAATTTTATAAAAATATTTTTGACAAATTAATATTATAATATAATAATAATAAAGATATATAAATACAAATACCATCTATTTATTTTCATATATATCATTTTTAATTCATTTATATCTAAAATATTAATTATTATGTTGAATCTTAATTACAATTTTAATTTAAAAAATTTTTAATATTGGTTGCTCTTTCTAATTTAATCTAAAATAGAATTTTCTCGTCTTTTTTTTTTATTCAACAAATAATAAAAATTTAGAATTAGTTAAGCTAATCTCTTGAAATCATAAAAGAGAAAAATTCTAGAGCAAGAAACCGAGCACGAATCATAGGATTCTCGAATCATTTACAAACACGGAACATACTAACAGTTCCGTGTTTCAGATTCCCGTTTCATGTTTTCTGTACGGTTAGTACACTCGGTCCAATTATATCATATCGGCTGGTCGTCGCGACGCAACATGACGAACCCTTCGCTACATGCGTCACGCGCGCGCATATACACACACGTAATCTGTAACATTAAGAACTCGCTTTGAGTATAAATTTCTCGATCTCGTGACCTCGCGTTCTTTTTCTCTAAAAAAATTTTAATAAATTCTATAAGAAAATACAATTTTTTTAGTAGCTTTTTTTTTATTTTTAGGAAAATTGTCGATATAATTTTTTTAAAAAGAAAATTATGATTTGTATTGATTTTCGTTGTAGTAAAAATATTTTATTCTTAAAAAAAAAATTATTGAATGTTATAAGATTTAGATATTTTTAAACAGAAACTCGGTTTCTTCTTTTTTCTTTATTTTTCTAAAAATTAAATTTGAATTTTTATTTCTAGTAGGATATATTATTTTTGAAAAAATTTCAAATGTTTAAAGAAAATAGATTAGTTTCTATGTATTGATCCCAGACTAACAGTATAAATTCAAGATATTAGAATTTATAATTCGCATAAATATAAATTTCTAATGCAAAACATTGAATATAGTTCTACTTGTTTTTCCTCTCGACTCGGAACGCATTCATATAAAAAGAAATTTTGAAACTGTTTATAAATTACAATTATAGACTTTAATAAATTTTTTATTTACAATATTGATATATGGTAATTAATATGTACAATCGAGTGTGTTACGCTTATCGATTCAAAGGATTTTCAAAAAAAACTCTTGAAAGAAAAAAAAAATTTTTTAAGGACAAATCTGAAGACAGTATATCGATCTGTTTCAATTGTAACACGTAACAAGTGTAAATAGAAATTTCATTTGGGACAAAACCTAACGGTACTAGTTACGCACCGATACATCAACTAATGAACCGATGTATTTGCTCTCGATTCTGTTGACTTGTACAAATCTAATAATTCCCTAAGTCGCGAGAAAAGAAACAGGTTTGGTTAGTTTCCTCATTCGAATCTGTTCGATCACATAATCGCATCGTACCTGTTTCCATATCTTGTATGTTTATTTTTATACAAATAATTTACTTGTAAAAATATAATATTATATGTAAAATATTATACGATCGTTTATTAATTTTTAATTGATATTATGGAATCTTTGAATAAAACATCAGAATTTTATTTAAATTCAAATTGACAAAAAAATAACCGATTTATTTGTTCGTAATATATAACCTATACAGTCGATAAGCGTAATCTCACTATTGATGCAAAATTTAATCATAAGATGTATTTCTAGTTAGCACACTAGGTTGTTTGTTATCGGCAAACTAATTGTGTTAAGTGATGTGGGGTTCCTCCCCATCTTCGTTGTTTCCCGCAGGTTCCCTGGCGGGAGTCGGCGTAGGTGTCGGCGTAGCTGGTATGGGCGTCGGTTGTGGAAGCTCGAACCCACTGGAATGGACTGGCCAAGTGACAGTACGGAAGAAACGCAAACCGTATTCTAAATTCCAGACGCTTGAACTAGAAAAGGAATTTCTATTCAACGCTTACGTGTCGAAGCAGAAACGGTGGGAACTCGCGCGAAATCTGAATCTGACCGAGCGACAGGTGAAGATATGGTTTCAAAATCGACGGATGAAAAATAAAAAAAATAGTCAACGGCAGCAGCAGAATAATAACAACAACAACAGCAGCGCCAATAATGCAAATCACCACGCGGCGACCGGTAGTCACCACCATCCGAG